GGCGGGAGCGAGCGCGCCACGTGGCGGGGAGACGCGCCGGGCACGGCGACGCTGCAAGGCGTCGGGGCGGCGCAGGTCCGAGCGCCTGGTAGGGTAGGTTTCAGAGGGAGCGGAGTGGCGTGGGGCCGGTGGCTGGGTTGGTGGTGGAGGCAGGGCACCGCAGCGTGGCCCAGAGCCTCCCTCAGCAGGCGGGCGCAGCATGTTACCCTGGCCGCCCGGCGCGGGCACGGAGGCAGCGCAGGAGCAGCGAAGCAGTGACCAGGCAGAGGCCTGCAGCTCCAGCGAGGAAGGCGGGAGGGAACCCGGAAACCCCGCACAGGACAGGTGAGGGCTTGGCCGGGCCACTCGGGGACATCGGACTGGGGGCCCCTGAGGGCTTTGTCCAGCTCTTTTTCTAAGATTAGGAAAATCTGCATGGTCCTGACCCTGCTGGAGAATGGAGATTTCATTGTCCCTGGGACCAGGCACCCTGACCCTGCCACTAAGCTCAAAGGAGTATTTGGAAGGGGACAGCAAGTGGGGTCCCCTGAGTGGAGGTGTCATTTCCTTGCCAGGCTGCAGCCCGTGCCCCTCGGGCCTTCTGAGCCCCGGAGGCAACAGCTGCTACCCTGCTACCCCGCTGGCCTGACTCCTGAGCCTTCCCCAGGAACCCCAGGTAGGCCGAGCCTTGCTGCCTTTACCCCCAAGACCCCTCCGTGCCTCTGATCCTGTCCTAATCTGTTTGACCTCCCACCCCCAGTCCCGCTTTCTCCCCAGGTGCCTTCCTCAGGGATGCCTCTGTTCTCACCCTGGGACCCCAACTACGGTGCTAAAGTGAGACCTCAGCAGGTGTGGGTGAGCTGCAAGGACCTCTGGCTCTGGCTCTGGCTCAGGGTGGTAGGGATGTCTCAGGAAGGCACTGAGACTCGATGACCCCTTTTGCCCCCCACAGACACCCGGCTGCGGGTCAGGTGTGTCCTTCTCAGGCCGGACACTGTGTCATCCCTCCTTCTGGCCCATGTACGAGACCTGGGGCAGGGGCCACAGGTACCAGGCCCCCATCCTAGGGCATCACAACGGACAGCAGGCACCCAGGGATGCAGGTACCTCGCATGGGGCCCTCTGTGCAGGAGTGTGGTGTACACACATCCCTGGGGCACAGGTGGAGTCCCCAAGCTGTCACCCTCACAGGTCCCTCCTCTCCTCATAGAGTTCCCAGTGATGTGTCCTGAAGATGTCTTTTTCTTGGACCCTCTGCTCCCCGCTGGGCAGCGAGTTCCCCTGTACCTGTCTGAGGTCCCTCAGCAGGTAAGAGTGACTACCTTGTGGTACCCGCCCCCAGCCTGTTGTGGGGCACCAGGGAGGAAACACTTCTCCTCTGTCCTCAGGCGATGAAGCTGCAGCTCCCACCTCCCATCATGTCCCCCTCAGTTCACCCCTCCCAGCCCAGGGGCTACTGTACGACCCAGCTCAGTGGGCGAGAGCTGATCGCCATCACCGGCCTGCTGCAGATGAGCCAGGGAGAGCCCAGACCCGGCTCCTCAGCAGCTCCTCCAGGTCCTGCTGACCCCATGGAGCCCATCTCTGACCACCAGAGCTCTTCGGGAAGCACTGATCCATCTACCTAGGACCTCAGACACCCACTGTGCATAGCACCCCTGGGGTAGAGTGGCCCCCCTTTCTGTTGATAATAAAACCTATTTTGCAAAAAGATTCCCAGTGGCACCTGACAGAGTGTGGCAGGGGAGGGAGGGGAGGGGTCTCTTCCTCTCCCACTGCATAGGTTGCCTTCCCGAAATTCTTGGCATTCACTGGTCACCCCCTACTGTGAGGCAGAGACTCCACTGACCTAAGAAGGCTACAAAGCAGGTTATCTTTAACTCATGGGCAGTAGTCCACAATCCGGGGCTGAGCTTTAAGAAGCCAGGCTGGGAGAAGGGACGATTGTGTGGGCACTGAGAGGAGCAGATTAAAGAGAGGGCACGTCACTTGCAGGGTACACTAGTGGTGAAATTCCCCAGTGCTCTCACACCTCTTTTGGAGGCTCAGGATTTAGCCCCGGGGCTGGGCGGGGCTGGCTGCCAAGTTCTTTGGCTCAGAGGAGATGCACAAAGTCCCTGCAGGTATGTGTGGGGCCCAGCCAAGCCAAGTGGGAGTCTGAATCTGTGGCTTTGAGAGCAGCTGAGATTGACTGTAGGAACACTTCAGGGAAGCAGGATCAGGACTAAAGCTGAGAAAGCCTGTTGAACTTTTGAGGGGGACAGGAAGTAGGACAGGCTGTAGAATTTCTCCCTGAAAAGAATCCAACTTCTTAGCTGGGGTTGGTAGTGCATGCCTGTAATGTCAGCATTCTGGGTGGCTGAGGCAAGAGGATCTCAAATTCAAGCCCAGCCTGGGCAACTTAGTGACTTAGACCATGTCTCCTTGTTTTTTTTTTTTTCCAGTACTGGGAATCAAACTCTCGACCTTGTGCTTGCCAGGCAGGTGCTGTGCTGCTGAGCTAAATCCCCAGCCCTAGACCATGTCTCAAAATAAAAAGGGTTTGGTGCAAGGTTCCTGGGTTCAATCCCTAGTACTAAAAAATAACTAAATCCAACTTGTACGAGCACCTCCTCTGGAAGATTTCTTGGACCACAGCTGGAAAGGAAGAGCAGGTCCAGTGCAGCACAATGCCTTCGCCTGTAGGCTAGCGCATCTGAGCCATGGAGCTCCTCAGCCACGGTAGGAGGGATTAGAAGGCACCGGGAGGGGTAACATTAGTAACTTTGCCCTGGTTCTCCACTCCTCCTGCCCTGCGCAGTGTCCCAGTCTCCAGTGGCAGGCACCTCTAGAAGGGTCTAGAACATGATGTGGGTGTAACTATGTGGGAGTTGGGTCCCTGGTGCTTTGTCTTTGGCCTTCAGAGGAGAGGCATCTAGGCTGAGGTTGCTGTCCGGGGCTGTGGCCTGGCAGTGCCCATTTACTCTGCGCAGAGAACTGGATGCATGTGTAGTCTCCGGCTGGCTCAGCCCCCACAGTCCCTAGCAGTCCCCTGCGAGCCCAGGTCCAGCTTCCTGGCTTCGGGCTCGCTGGGAATGTGCTGGTGAAAATCTCATCATGGGCATGTATTCAGCACCCCGCCTCCTGGTGCAGCTGTTGGGAGCTGCGCCGTCTGGAGGAAGGCCTGGGGGCGTCATACTACATAGTCACCTGCCCCGCTGCCCCCCATGTGTACATAGTCACTCCTGGCGCCCAGGGGGATGCAGTCTCCACTCTGATCCAAACCTCTGGGGTATAAAGCAGCTACCCCCAGCCTTGCCAAGGTCTTGCGGGTTGCTCCATGCTCTTCCCTGCGTCTTCTGGTTGGGCTGTGGAGGCCTGGGTGTCAGACGACTTGGGGACAGGGGATCTAGAGGCGTTCATCACAGGATCCTGGAGCAGTGTCTCAACCAGGACACAGGCACCGCTGCTCCCGCCTGAGTCTCCTCTTGGCGGCCAGGATGGTCTAGTGGCCACGACGGTGTCGGGTGCCTGCAGCCACAGCTCCTCGGGCCAAGCGGCCGAGCTCCAGGAAGGGGTCCACGTGGCCGCAGCGGCGCGCGCTGAGCAAGAACAGGTGCAGGGCAGGCGGCAGCGACAGCCGCCGTTCTCGGGGTCCCGCAGGGAGGCTCAGCAGCCCTGACCCCAGCACCTCTGACCCCAGGCACAGATGGTAGCCATCGCTGCCCAGACCTCTGGTCCGCCCCAGGCCCTTGGGCCGCCGCGTCATGGGCCACACGTGGGAGGCTCCAGGGCTCAAGCTCCTCGTGGGCACTTGGACCTGGAGACAACGGGTTGGGCCACCGGGGGCTCCAGGGCCGGAGGCTGCAGCCACAGTCCTGGGAACTGCACACGTGCAAACGCTTAAAGTGTGAAAGACCAGGGATCTGGGAGAGGGACCTGTCCTCGACTCCTCCCCCCCGCGCGCTCCCCGCGGCTCCCGGCGACGAGGCGCGCACCCCGGGCAGGGCGCTGTACCGCACCGCTGCTCGGCCTGGCTGGCGGCCGCCACGCCCAGGTTGCCGTCGTGCGTAAGGAGGACGATCGGTGGCGCTGGCGTGCGTCCGCGTGCTTGCAGACGGTGCGCGCGCCCGCCAGGCTCACGCTGCGCCGGGGCCGCGTGGAGCGGCGCTGACAGCGAGGAGCTTCTCTCTCGTAGCGGTCAGCAAGCCGCAGTGCCGGGACTTCAGATTCCGCAGGTGGCCGTGGAGACTCACATCGGTCGGGCAGGGACAGAGCAGCGGCAGGCCGACGGGCCCTTTGCCCGACACGGACTTGGGGGTGGCCGTGGGGTCGCCACCTTCAGGCTTCACGTCGGGTGGCAGAGAGGCGGATTAGGCAGGGTCTCCTGCGGGCCGCGGGGAAAGGCCAGCAGAGACGGCCTTTGAGGTGGCAGGCCACGGAGGGGCGCCGTGACCTGCAGGCGGTGACCTGTCTAGGTGGCCGGGTCTCCGCCCTCCTCTCGACTTGAAGTTTGGGGCAAGGGGTCTACGCAAAGTATGTGTCCTGTGACTCCAGGGCTCCTAGCACCTAGCTCCTAGCACTGCTAGGCTGACCGGCCGGGTCCCCTCCCGCATCGCTCCTCCAGTCAGGCGGCAGTCCCTATCCCCGCGAACCCCGGGCGCCAGAGTTTTAGTCCCATCTAGGCATCCCGGAACCGAGCCTCCCCAGGATCAGTGGGCCGCCGCGGGGGCGGAACAGGGCCGCCTTCGGGGCAGGTGGTGCGAGTGCAAGGCCAGTTACCACAACCGAGTCCGCGGAGGTAGCACCGGCGATTGGAGGGTGACCAACCGGGCCACCCTTATAGCAGACACTCCGGCTACCGCCACCTCAGGCTTCTAGGCCTCGGTCGCCTGTGCACCACCATCCCGCCCAGGAGCGCGTGTGTGGCTTCTTTCAGCTCGTCTCCCGGGAGCCGTGGCTGCTGAGCACTGGGCTCGTTTTGAGCGTCAGTTCAGTTTCTCCATGGCTCGGAGTGTGGGAGCTGCCTCGGGAGCGGAAAGCGGGCTTGGTCCCTGCGCGCGGACCCTGCCCACCAACATCCCAGTCGAGTGGCCACTGAAGGTCCCGTGGAGGACGACTTGGCCACCGCACAGGGACACCTCCTTCACGCCGCCCTCCCCACACCGCCACTGCCCCACTGCATCCTGGACCCGCCAAAGGCGCGGATCAGGGACTTCCTTGGTGCAGGACTCTTCCGGCCCTTGCACCCAGAGAGGTTTGGGTGTGGCTGGGGAATTGACATTTTTGCACCTCGCTTCGGATCCCAGGACTGCGGCTCGGCTGTGTGTGCGTGGTGGGGGTGGAGCTGACCAGTGCTAGCTCCCGGACACGCCCCAGTTGACGCGCAGGGGGGTCTTAGAGGACCTCAGCAGACCTTGTGATCGCAACCCCACCGCAAGCAAGATTCCCGCGGGGAAGCTGAGGTTCTGGAGAAGAGGCGGAGCTGTGGCCTCGGTTAAAGAGCGCGTTGGGGCGGGGCTTCCTCCCAAGGGCAATAGCTCTAACGGCAAGACGCGAGAAGCCTGGTTCCTTTTCTCCCACTAGTCCAAGGGCCGCCTGAGCAGCGAGGCAGGACTTCCTGAGGAAGAGCCCGGCTTGTGACCTGGAATCCCAGCGAAGCCAGCGTTCTGTGTGAGGAGCTAGAATCCTCGGGCAGACTTCCTTCCTTCCTTCCTTCCTTCCGTCCGTCCGTCCGTCCTTCCTTCCTTCCTTCCTTCCTTCCTTCCTTCCTTCCTTCGTGGTTAGTGTCGTACTGGGGATTGAATCCAGGGTCTTTGCACCGAGCTACATTCCAGCCCTTTTAAATTTTGAGACAGGGTCTCATTAAATCGCTAAGTAGTCCATGCTTGAACTTGAGATCCTCCTGTCTCAGCCTCCCCGAGTGCTGGGATTATAGATGTTACCACACTCAGCTCTTGAACATCTTTTTTTTTTTTCTTGAACATCTTTTCAAGGGACATGTGAAGAACCAGATTTAGGGCATCAGCTAGCATCACAGAGATGGGTGTCTGGCCTGGTTCCCAGGGCTTGCTCCGGGTGCCTTTGGACAGAGAAGCACCCCCCAGAAGCTCAGGGCGTGCAGGGACAGCTGCCCAGAGGTGGGTGTTGGCCAAGGAGAAGCAGGTTTGTCATGGATCCTGAAACAGCCACCAAAACAGGACTACGTTCAAGGCCATAACCCCCCAGCGTGGCCAAAGGGCCTGATGTGGACACCACATGCATGGTGACAAGGTCACAAAAGATGTCTGCGTTTCCTTCCCTTCCTAGATATGTGCTCCCCACTCCTGGCCTGAAGCTTTATTTCCCAGGCTTGGTTTGCAGCAGCTCGAGGTTCTCCTCATTGCTTCTCCTTCTTGCCTCCCTCAACCAGGTCATCTCGCAACACGTATTCTTGGGGAATCGCAGCTGCTGTCTCGGACAGCGCCACAACACCCCGTGTCGTTGAGCATGGGGTGCTAGGTGCAGATGAAAGCAGGAAGCAGCGGCAGTCCGTGTGCCTGGGGTGTGGACAAGCCGCAGTGGGGGTGGGGACGATGGTAGTGGTGGTAATAATCAGCGCCAGGTGATTTGGCCTGCTGGGTGCCAGGAGAAGCTTGGAGTCAAACTGGCTTACATAGGTTGCCATAGCAACAGGAGTGCCCTTGGCCTTACCCAGACAAGATTTATTATCGTCTGTAGCCCTGGCAACTGGAGTGCTCCCCAGGGACGGGAAGTGCAGAACCTTAGCCCTGTGAGGAGGGCCCCTCCCACCCTGAGGCGCCACATTTGCAAACCGCCTCCAGCCTTGTCAGATGTGGGGCACTGCCCTCCACATCCCTTTGGAAGAATCTTGGGATCAGAGGACGATTCCACGGGGAGACTGTGCTGTGCATTGTGGGGCCTTGCTTCTCTGTGGAGACCTAAGGGCAGAGCCAGAGATGTAGCCCTGTGCTCTCTGTTCTCCAGAGCAAGGCCACAGCGCTGGCCAGGGGCACGTGTCAAGGGGAAGGACTTGGCCAGATGCGAGGTGAGCGGGGTGAGTCACTCGCTCCAGCCTTGTGGTGCGTGCCTGCAAGTGTGTGCGCCCAGTCAGGCTGCAGGGACACAGCCTCAGCAGTTGGACATTTCCTACCAGGCTGCAGACTTTTCCACCCTTCGCCACTGGCCTGGAGAGCAGGCTGGATGGAGGGTGCTGGGTCTACCCATGCCGAGAAGGGCAGTTGCAGGCCTGGTCTCAGCCCTGGTTCACTGAACTCTTGGTTTTTCTGCTGTGGGCTGAGAGTAAGCCCAGCGCAAGTTCTCTGGCTGGAGTCCACAGCGGATGGAAGGACGGGAGGGGAGGCATATCGTGAGCTCCAGCAGCCAGTAAGAGATCCCCAGGAGACAGCGTGGGTGTGACTGAAACACAGGACCAGTGGCCTTTCAGCTCTCGGTCCTTTAAACCTTAGGCAGGGAGTTAGGAAAAGGGGAAGAGAACTGGGGAAAAAATAAAGAGCATCTGCTTTTTTTTTCTGGTACTGGTACCGGTACCGGGAATCGAATTTAGGGCCTTGCGCTTGTCAGGCAGGTGCTGTGCTGCTGAGCTGTATCACTGGCCCTCTGGGCAAAAATAAACCTCAGACTTTGGCTTCCCTCCCTGCCTGGCTCTGAACAGAAAGAATGGGAAACAGAACTCAGGAGGACATTTGGACATGGTGGTGCACGTCTGTGATCCCAGGACTTGGGAGGCTGAGACAGGATGATCGCCACAAGTTTAAGGGCAGCCTGGGCTACATAGAGAGACCCTGTCACCAAAAAAAAAAGAGTGATAACAGGGGTCTGAGACCCCACAGGGAGAGGGAAGGTGGGGAAAAGCTGGGCAAGTGAGAGCCAGACAAGGTCTTTCCAGAAAACTCTGCAATACAAATCAGCGGGTGGACCTAATCCCCATTTCTCTGCTGCTCTGTGGAAGACCCAGAGAAATCCCAAGAATGAGCAGCTGAAGGCCTGGAGCTCCTGAGCCATGCTGAGGCGAGGGATCTCTCCCAGCCCTGGGCTACACGGCAGGTATTTCCCCAGCTCCTGAACTGTCGCCACACAAATAGCCCAGACACCGACCGGGCTGTTGACACAGCAGCCTGTGGTGACAATGTCCGGGGGGGCGGGTTTACCAGAGGTCCATTTCCACGGCACCTGGCTCCTCTGCCCAACCCTGGTGGGAATCACCCCCCTCCGTATCTCCTGAACCCCAACTCTTGCAGGGGTCCCTGTCCTGATCCACACCTTCCCACTGCTAATATGGACCCGAGTTCCGGCCAGGACTGGCTGTCTGGCAGTGAGCAGGTCGCCTGGTCGCCTGGTCTTCAGCCCGGGCAGGCTGGATGGGTGGTGCCTGGCTAACGTTCAGCCCTGTTCACTGACTCTTGGCCCCCAGCCCCTAAAGCAACACAAGAGCCACTTTTTCTTTCAAATGCAGTTCTTTTCCAACATTGCCTGCAAACGAGCTTTGGTGCAGAGATTTGGGAGCTTGGGAGCAGGGGAGGCACATGGGAAAAAAAAAAAAAAAGAAATGGAAAAGAAAAACAAAATCCCCAGTCAATTGCACAAAGCCTTTCCCTGGAAAAGCCCAGGTTCTGGGGTGGTCAGGACACATGGCTGCCTCCCCCGTCCCTGGGCTCTGGCTTTGATGGTCCAGGCACAGATGGGGTTCATCCCCTTCCCATTAAAGGGCAAGGGAGCAGGGCTGGGGTAGGCATGTATATATGTATGTATGTGCATATATATATTTCTATAATAGGCTATATTAGAAAATTCTCTCTATGTATAAATATAAAACACTGGTATCCAAACATGACACTGACAGGTAACTAAAGTGCTTGACAGGAGTCAGGCATGTGTATGTATGCAGGTAAAACTATGCATCCTGAGTGCCAGGATGGGCGTGCTGGAGAAGCAGAACAACGGAGGTGGAGAAAAGCAGGTGCCACCCAGGGGGGAGCAGAGGCCTTCTGGCCTCAGGGCTCGCGGGTTACGGTCCCAGTCCACACTCCTCTTCGCCCGCTTTCCCCGCTGTGCCTCTGGGAGAAGCAGTGTGGAAAACTGCAAGGGGAGGAAGAGTCCTTCTCCCGGGTACGGCTGGTCAGTGATGGTCACACCTTCCTCTGCCCCTGGATGGGCCGGAAGTGAGGGGACCACTGTGTATGCCCAGGGCAGGCCAGGAGGTCGTGTGCATAACTGGTCATTTGAAAAACACACTGGTCCTCTGGGCCAGCCCTACCTTCCCTCCTTCCTGGGCCCCCTGGTAGGGGTGGCCCGAGGAGGAAGGAGGCCCCTGGGCCACTGCCCCGCGCTGTGATTCATCCGGAAGCCCCCAGCAAAGCATTAGCACCTCCGCCGTCCTCAGGACCCTGCCTGCAGCCAGGCCCATTCTGGTCTCAGACCCACAGAAATGCCTAAGGCAAGGAAGGGGTGACCAGGGCTTTAGGGAGCAGAGGGTCCCCAGAAAATGGGGAAGAGATCCCCCTGCACACAGTGCTACAAGAACGGGTTTGTAGTTGGAGGTTTGGAGGCAAACGGGCTTGGTGAGGATCCAGTCTGGAAGGAAAAGAACAGGAGGTTATTTGACTAGGGAAGAACAGCTGGAAAATAGAAAAAATGCATTTTAGGGGTCCCTTTGCCCGTGGAACCATGGCGTGGAGGGGGAAGACAGCGCTCGGGAAGCAATGACTGAGACACCTGTCCCTGGCTTGGCCTGTCCCACCCCACGCTACCCTCTCCTGGAAGGGTTCTGTCCCCAGCACCACACAGGGCACTCACCATGAAGGGATTGGTAGAGATCCCAGCCGGCTGGCTGAGTGGCCTTTGCACCAGCCTGGTGGGCCCCAAGTCCCCAAAGGAAGAACCTGGGAAGCAAAAGCAGTGCGTCAGCTGACGTGGCCAGCCCGTACTGCCACCGTGAGAAGGCTCCACTGCACCTCCAGGACATAGGCACTTGCTACATCCTAGACAGCTAGAGAGACCCCGGAACTCTGGCGAAAAGGTAGAGCAGCCAGCTGGGCGGCACAGGCAGGTGTGCTGCTCCCCCTACTGGCCAGAAATGGAGCTAGCTCAGAGGTGGGCTGGGGCACAGCGCCTGCATCCCCACACTCCACCAACCTCTGGTTCAAAGCAGCTCTTCCCCACCGGCCTGGATTGACCGTGCGTGGACCTTTACTCCTCGTCATTCACCCTTCGACACTACAGTGTAACAGCGATTTAACTAGCATTCCTGTTGCATTAAATGTAAGCCATCTAGAAATGCTTTAAAGAAGACAGGAAGATATGCCCGGGTCCTGTGTAAATACCAGGCCATTTTACATAAGGGACTCGAGCCCTCGTGGTCCCGTGACACTGAGAGCCGATGGTCTGTCCATGTGGAGGGGAGCAGGGCTCAGAGAAACCCTTACCATTCTGCTGCGGCGTCAGCGAGGTCTGTGGGGGGAACAGCGGTGAGGGGAAGGTGCTGGCAAAGGCCCCAGAGGGTGGCACTGGCTGAGCGAAGCCAGGCCCGGCACTGCTCATCCCAAAGCCAGACCCTGTGGAGTGACACGAGGCTGAGGCAAACTTCCGTGAGGGCTGCGAATGGCTTTCCCTACACCCCTTCCCCCGAAGAGGCCCCCAGTGGGAGGATCCTGGGTGAGTATGGGATTCTTCAGCTTCTCCTGAACCTACCAAGCCAGCCACCCTGCCCGCGGCACCAAGCACAGCAGTCGCTGTGAACAAGGGCACCACACAGAACCTGGGTAGCTCTGTCCCTAGTAAACTGCATACAAGAGGGTGTTTTTACCACTCTCAGCCTCAGCTCTCTTGTCTCTAAAATGGGCACAGTATGTCTCTCTCAGGGTAAAGAAAGTGAGCTCCAGGAGCCCATCCACTCCTCTCCTCGGCCTCAGGACTGCAGACAGCCAGAGGGCGATGGGCAGGAGTTTGAGGACACAGAAGCAGAGGCTTCAGAGGGTGACAAGGGCAGGGTTGTGATTTCACAATCGTCTCCAAGAAGCTTAGGGATACAGACAGGGGCCAGAGACAGGAGACTCCCTGCCACTATCAGCCACATGAAAACCACGTTCAGAACTGGGCTTTTGTTTGATTTTTGCGGTGCAGGAGATGGAACCCAGGCCTTGCAGAGCTTAGGCAAGTGCTCTACCATGAACTACATCCCAGCTGCTATGGTTTAGATCTAAAACATCCCCCAAGTTCTCCTGTTCATAGGAGGAGACTTGGAAGGTGATTGGATCGTGGGGCACTGCATCATCCGTGCACACATCCATGCTGAGTCAGAGCTGAATGTGCTGTGAGGAGGTGGGCCTGGCTGGAAGGGGCTGATCACTTTGCAAGGTTACTCTTTCTCTCTGGCTCTTCCCGCTCTCTGCTTCCTGGCTGCCCTGGGTTGAGCAGTTTTCTGCTGTCAGGTCCTTCCACAATGCCATTTTTGCCCTGGAGCCAGCCAAACATGGACTGAACCCTCGGAAACTGTGAGTCAAATAAACCTCTCCTCCCTTCTGTTCAGGGTGTCAGGTATCTGGTCCCAGCAAAGGGAAAGCTGACCAGTACGCCAGCCCTTTTTATTTTGAGACAGAATCTCATTAAGTGGCCCAAGTGGGGCTTAAACTTACCGTTCTGCCTCAGGCTCACTAGCAGCTGGAATTACAATAGGTGTGCTCTTAGTTTTTTCCTAATCCTAAAATTCTGGCTGTGTGACGTAGGTGCTTTTGCTTTTAGCTGTGGGGGCCTGGGTGAGAACAGGTCTGGTCCAGGCTGGTGAACAGTGGCTGGGGCTGCAATGGGTCTTCTGGCTGCTCCTGACAAACAGGTGTGTGTGTGTGTGTGTGTGTGTATGTGTGTGTGTGTGTGTGTGTTGTCCAAAAGGGGGTGCGTAGGGGACAGTGTAGGTGACTTACCTGGAGCCAGGCCATTGGGCTGGAACGGGTTGGTGGAAGGCAGCTGGGGCTGGGCCGCAGGGGTGGCGAAAGGATTGGTGAAGGCTGCTTGGGGCAGAACAGGAAGACAGAATGAGTTACCTTTCCCCCCCTGCTTAATCCTGTGATGACTGCGTGTTCCTCTACAGCTTGACCTGCCTCTCCCCTCCCCTCCCTGTGCAGTCTCCACTCCTGCCATCAACCCATTGCCGGGCCCCTGGGCAGGCAGGACTCACCTCCAAAGGGAAGTCCTGTGTTGCCGCCGCCAGGCACTGCAGACTGGAGCGCGGGGACCTGGCTGGCCATCCCGAAGATGCTGCGGGATGCGGAGAGAAGTTGGGGTGCTCACCCTCCAGGCCAGGGGACACACGGCCATTGTGCTCTCAGGGCAGGAGGGGGGCCGAGAGGGAGGCGAACAGGAGGAGCTGAAGTGGGGCAAGCGGGGCCAGCCCTGGGGGATGCCTAGACCCACCTGCCAGGGACGCCTCCAGTGGACACCCCAGGTCCCAAGAGGCTGCCCATATCTGCGAGGCTGCTGGGCTGACTGGCAGCTGCAAGCGGAGCGGCACCGAACGGAGTCACCTGGCTGCTCCCTGGGCCACCGTGGGAGATAAAACAGGAAGGGCTGGGTGAGACAGGAGGAAAGGGGCAGGAGGTAGAGGGGGGCTGGGTGGAGGAGTGGGGTGTAGGCAGGGAGGCGCCCCTGGTTGCTCTGAGGCAGCTCGTGCTCCCCTCCGTGTGGGAGGGCTTGTCCCCCTCCCAGTTCCAGGCAAAGTGACAGCTCAGGTGTCCCCAAGCTCCCCAGGGCTGCAAGCTGCCGCTTGGAAATGCAGTTCTTCCTTGAGCCAGGCCACCCTCCCTCCTGTCTAGCTTGGCTTACACTTCCCGGATGGAAATGTCTGTCCCTCCCTCCAGCCAGCACCGGCTTTTATTGATGTGTCACCTGAACGGGCAAGCAGAGGAGGTGGGAAGGACAGCAAGTCCAGAGCACACCCAGGACACACCCAGGGACTGTGCACAAGTCTGCAGGCCTCAGCACACTCCTGAGCTGCCCCCTCTTGGGCACCCTGGTCCCGGGGTCAGGCAGCTTCGAGGGTCTCCTCTCTCCTCGCCTCCAATAACCAAAGCTCAGAGGGCCAGGCTCACGTGCAAGCATCTCAAAACGGCCGGAGGGGCGAGTCTCCGAAATCCTAAGCAGTATCACCGCAGTGTGAGCTCAGGGCCTGAGTCTATCACTGCACAAAACCCTCTTTGTCTGTGTGTCAGACTCATCTGTATTGTGGGACCTTGTCAACCAAGCAGAGCTGCTGTGAAAGTAAACTGAGATCATGGATGCAGAGGATGAAGACTCATTCCTACTGAAGCCAGGCAAACTCTGTCTAGTGTCCGAAGTACAATGGTGCTCGATCAGGCTTTATGACCGGGATATCCCAATGGGAGTCAGAACTGGATTCTAGTAGGGGTTCTGCTACTTGACGTGACTCTGGAAAACCATCCCCTTCTCCGGAGCACCCCCTTCTCCTTTTTGCTGTAAGGGAGATGGAACCAGGGCCTCACGCTTGCTGGGGGAGTGCTCTACCACTGGGCTGCACCCCCAGCCTGCTGAGCCCAGTTTTTCACGCTGCCCTCTCCCAGGGTGGCTGTAAGGACCTTCTGAGGTATTTGAAAGCATATTCTGTAAAGTGTGACACAAACAGGAGGCACTATTTCACTATAAGAAATTATTTCCAGGGTCGGAGGTGCAACCGAAGGTCTCAAAGGAACTGTATGGTGGCTGTTTCAGGTCAGAGCCCAGTGACCAGGGTCCTCACCTGCACCTCCAGCCTCTAGTTTCAGCCGTCAACAAGAGGCCCTAGCCGCTAGCTCCTGCTTGTATCATGTTCAACAGAAGCCTGTCTTCAGAGGGGCCTGCCCTGACCACCAGGGTGAATTTGATCCTGAATTTCCTTTCGTAGCACCCTGTTCTTGTCCTTCATAGCATCTGACATATTTGTAGTGTTGTGCTTTTCTTTTTAGAGACAGGATCTCGCTATGTAGTCCAGGCTGACCTTGAACTCACTATGTAGCCCAGGTTGGCTTCAACTTGGGGCAATCCACCTGCCTCAGCCTCCCAAGTGCTGGGATTACAGGTGCCACCATGTCTAGCCCAGTTTCTTGTTGGTAAAATTTTGGGTTTTTCTTGAGGACCTAGAGCTGTGATTTGATTCTCCACACTCCCCGCTTCTAAAGGCTGTACAAGCCAAGTGTAGTGGTACATGCCTGTAATCCCAGCATTCGGGAGGCTGAGGCAGGAGGATCGCTGTGAGGTCAAGGCCAGCCTAAACTACATAGCAAGACTGTCTCAAAAATAAATAAATAAAAAAAGCCTGTAGGCATCCTTTTTAGGGGCTCCTCCTCCGCAGGGCTACACATGGGTATACCATCAGCAGCTCACCAGGCAGCAGGGAAGACAAAGCCCCTGGGGCCTCCCTGTTGCCAGGTCAAGGCCAGCTTCATCTTACTGAGCATCCGCCCCTCCTTCACCACCCCCCTCCCCACCGCCTGCGCTTTCTCTGTGAACGCATCCCACTCTGGGCTTCCTTTGGTTGCCAGGCTTCCCACCGCAGGACGCAGGCAGCGGGGCGGAGTCTCCAGGCCCTCGCACTTCAGGGAAGCTGGTGTTTCTGAGAAAACTGGCTCCCTCTCCTCAGGTGAATCAGATTCTTCACGCTCTATGTCTGTGCTCTAGGGGCTTCTCCCAGTGAGGACCATGCAGGCCCTCACCGGTCCAGGCTGCTGCAGGTGCTGGTCCGCTGGTTGTGATATGCAGCCTGCAGACACTAGAGGGCAGAGCTGGCCCTGCCCCAAGTGGCCTCGGCTGCTCTGATCAGCTACACGCACACGCAAGAGCGCATGCACACACACAGGCAGCACGGCACAGCCTCACCTCCTGGCAGCTGGCTCAGTGCGCGTGCCTTCGAGCAGTCAGGGAAACTGCAGTTTCGGAAACCTCCCCGCTCTATACTCCTCCTCAGAGATATAAAAATAAAACTAGGCTTGTCAGAAGCGATTCCTGCCTCTCAAAATCTCCTTCCATACTTCCTACCCAGTACACGACCTTGATTCATGCCAGGGTTCAAACCCGGCGCCTCGCACATGCTAGGCAAGCATTCTGCCCGAGCCCCACCCCCCCAGCCGCTCAATGGTCCTTTGTTCAATGGAACACTCATGATCGTGGTGTGAGAAGAAAGTAAGTGAGGAGGCTGAGGCAGGAGGATCGCAAGTTCAAGCCCAACCTGGGCAACTGAGTGAGACCTTGTCTCAAAAAAAGCAGGATTTAAGGCCGGGCATGGTGGTGCATGCCTGTAATCCCAGCACTGGGGAGGCTGAGGCAGGAAGATCATTGTGAGTTCGAGGTCAGCCTGGCTACAAAGTGAGCTCAAGGTCAGCCTGAACTGCATAGCAAGACCCTGTCTCAAAAAGAGAAAAGGGGCTGGGGATTTAGCTCAGCGGCAAAAGCGCCTGCCTGGCAAGCGCAAGGTCGTGAGTTCGGTTCCTGGTACCGGAGAAAAACCAAAAAAAAAAAATCAAAAAGAGAAAAAAAAAAAAAGCAGGATTTAGCTCAGCATGAAGGTCCTGGGTTCAACTATTCAAAAAAAAAAAAAAGCAGGATTTAGCTCAGCATGAAGGTCCTGGGTTCAACTATTCAGTACCACCAAAAAAAGAAAAAAAGAAAGAAAGAAAAAGAAGATAAGGCGAGTGAGAACGGGGTCTGCCACTCAGTGGCATTTGCTTTTGGCCAAGTCTCTGGTCATGTGAGCCAGTTTTCTCAGCTGCAGAGTGTGACACTTTCCTCCTCCGTGGACAAACTACGTCAAAGCTCTCGGCGATGGCAGGAGCCTCCGGATGTTGGCTGCCTCTGGGTCTGGTTGCAGTGTTTGCTTTCTGAGACTAACAGACGCTGGACAAAGTGTTCAGTGCCTAAACAGACTGTCTTCTCTCTGGGTCTGCCTGGTGAGCTGGGTCTTAGTGCAATCCTGTGCCAGGAAGGCATTTCACAACCCTGGGCTGGGGCGCGGCTCGGCGGTGGTGCGTGTGCTTAGTATGCATGACGCTTTGGGTTCAGCTCCCAGCACCATGAAAATAAGAAATAATCTTATCTTGGCTATTTCATCTAGTGCTCCCATTCCTAGGAAAGCTACTCTCTTGGTAAACTGGATATTCCTATGTCCACTTATATTCCTGCCAACAGTGTACAAAAGGGTCCATTTCACCATGTAACATGGGCCACTATCAGTCTTTAGATTTTTTTGTTAATATACAATATTGTCCTTATTTGCATTTCTGATTAGCTAGGTTGAAGATACTTTTTTTTTTTTGACACAGGGCCTCACTATGCAGTTCAGGTTGGACTTGAACTCACTATGAATCCCAGGCTGGCCTCGAACTCCTGGCAATCCCCCTACCTCAGCCTCCAGAGTGCTGGGATTACGAGCATGTGCCACCATGCCTGGCTCCATATTTTTTCTGAATACCATGTGCTTTTATTCCTTGTCCATTATCCCATTCTTTCTGGCTTATGTATAAGAGTTTCACAACTACCTTTGGATATTAACCTTTTTTCTGTATTTTGTGTTGTATCTGCTTCCTGTTTCATAGGTTTAGTGTTTGTTTAGAAACAGGTATTAACATATACACCTGTGGAGTGTCTGTCGGAATTTACAGAGATTTTGTTTCATGGTTCATGGTCACATTATAGTAAGGCTATACGTTTGAAAATAATGTGGTGACCAAAAGGTACAGTAATGTTCAAATTTATGTATTTATTTATGTAGGTTTTTTGACTTCAGAATTTTTTTTTTCCTGTAGCACTGGGAATTGAACTCAGGACCTTGTGCTTGCCAGGTAGACACTTATACCACTGAGCTAGATCCCCAGCCCCTATGTAGGTTTTTTGAGACAAGGTCTCACTTTGTACTACAGGCAGGCCTTGAACTCACTATGTGGCCCACGGTGGCCTTGAACTTACAGCAATCCTCCTGCCTCAGCCTCCCAAGGGATGTGCCACCATGCCTAGCTAAATGTTTAAATTTAGTGCAGTAAAAGACATACTGCCAAACGGGGTGTGCTGGCGCATGCCTGTAATCCCAGCACTTGGGAGGCTAAGGCAGGAGGATCTCCAGGAGTTCGAGGCCAGCCTTGGCTACATAATGAGTTTAAGGTCAGCCTGAACTGCACAGTGAGACCCAGTCTCAAAAAAACAAACCAACCAAAGAAAAGAAAGACACATTGCCAAGAACAATGGGATGAGTGTGTCTGCATCTGGAGGAAGGTGGCTTGAGAATGTAAGGGGAGATGATGGCAATTTGTCTTTAATTACAATACAATTTTAAATTTAAACATTCACTATCTCAGGTTATGATCACCTCATGTTGACCAAACACTTACGGCAATTTCTACCAAATAAAAACATTCCAGTGTGAAAATAAGTAATAGCTTGTGGGAAACCAGGTGAGATGTGAGGCCTAAGTGGCCTCCTCTATGAAGCACCGAGGAAAGGTCAATACAGCTGAGCTCAGGGTGTTTACCTGGGCGCGTACTAATGGATAATGGAAGGCAGATGAATCTTGTGTTACTTTAATTACGTGTACCCACGTTTGAGAGAATAAAAGCAGGGTAAGCTAGATACTTGGGGCTCCTCCGCCTGTTAGAGGCAAGAGCCCCCTGGCTGCCTGCATGCTATGCTAAATCTGTGTCTTTCATCCTCGTTCACTCCCAGGTCAGGGTGACAAACTAGCAGGACTAGGTCCCTGCAAGTGGCGTTGGGAGAGGAAAGACCAGAGTGGGCTGGTTCCCCACGGAGGGCCTGGGCAGGCACCTGGGACTGGTGTGGACCAGTCTCCTAAAATATCTCCTTAAGGGTCAAGATTTATACATTTTCACATTTATATTCTCAGTACCTAGTGAACCACCCGGCATGTGGCAAATATGAATGTTGAATGAATTAAAACTTTAAGATAGGGATAAATATAGTTTACATTTATTTATTTATTTTGTTTTGTTTTTCGTTTTTCTTCCAGTACCAGGAATCGAACTCACGACCTTGCGCTTGCCAGGCAGGCGCTTTGCCGCTGAGCTAAATCCCCAGCCCCTATAGTTTACATTTAAAGGTTTTTTTTTTTCTGTCTTTTTGAGACAGGATCCCGCTATGCAGTTCAGGCTGGCCTTGAGCTCACTTTGTAGCCCAGGCTGGTCTTGAACTCGAAACGATCCTCCTGCCTCAGCCTCCTGAGTGCTAGGATTACAGGCGTGTGCCACCACGCCCAGCTACATTTTAAGTTTCATTTCTAAATTTTGCATGAGTTTAAACAACTACTAAAAACAAACAAAACTTACCAACTTACCTCTTATTTATTTTTTTGTTTGTTTTTTTTTCCGGTACTAGGAATCAAACTCACGACCTTGTGCTTGCCAGGCAGGCACTGTGCCACCAAACTAAATCCCCAGCCCCTTACCTCTTACTTTCATTATTTAAAAATATGCCAAACAAAACATGCTTTGAGTTAAAAAAAATTACATTGTGTCTGCATCCACCTTATTCACTGTATCTGGTACTCTGCAACTTTGGGATATTCCTCAAAGCTAAATGACCTTGAAAAGTAAATGTTTTGAATTGATTTAGGCATTGAGATAGCCATGACACCGTAACTGAAGACACTCACGAAAAAGGACTGCCAGAACTGCTTCAGGAAGTGGCAAGAATGCTGGGATATGTGAGTTTGAAGTAAGAGGAAATATTTTGGATAGATTAATGGCAATGTGCCTTTTACTGTAGTAAATTAAACATTCGCCATATTTTTTGATCACACAACATGTATTCTGGACTGGAAATGTAACTCAGTAGTACAGCACATGCTTAGTATATGTAAGGCTCTGGATTCTATACTCTGTACTATTAAAAAAAAAAACTAATATATAGTGTGCTGATTATAAAGCTCTATTTATATTTGTATTTATATTTAAGAAGATCAAACTTATTGAACTACTCAATCATCTTTATTGCTTTTTATTTTATTTTTTGTCTTTTTGAGACAGGGTCTCGCTATGTAGTTCAGGCTGGCCTTGAGCTCACTTTGTAGCCCAGGCTGGCCTCAAACTCGAAATGATCCTCCTGCCCCAGCTTCCCAAGTGCTGGGATTATAGGTGTGCGACAACACGCCCAGCAAAGGAGAATAGATGGCATTTATTCACCATATTACTTAGAAGAAACTATTAAGTGATAAGCCCTGTTTTTTTATTTGTTTGTTTGGGTACTGGGACCTCGCACTTGCAGGCAGGTGGTTGTGCCCCTAAGCTATATCCCCAGCGCTTTGCTTTCTTATCTACCTATTCTACCTAGTAATCTTGTGAGAACTATCCTAGTCTACTCTACTGATTTACTAAATGCCCAATGCATCTCATAGGTTTTGGTTTGTGAATCTTAAGGTTCACTGTCAGTTACTTTAAGTACATGACCGTGAGAACTTCCCTGTGAGTTTTAACTTTTAACTTTTTTTTTTTCCGGTACCAGGAATCGAACTCACGACCTTGCGCTTGCAAGGCAGGTGCTGTGCCGCTGAGCTAAATCCCCAGCCCCATTAACTTTTACTAATGTGTCTCTTAGTGGCCCATTAAAAATACATAAAATCAAAACAAAAGCAGCCCAACAGTTCTCAGTGGCACAGGGGAAAGTCTCAGCTTTGCCTCTTTGTGGGCCTCACGCCAAGGTGACCTGATGAACTCCCTCATCTATAAAACAGCTCAGTGGTGATAACTCTTTGGGTTTGGTGGGGCTGAGTATTGAACCCAGGGTCTCACGCATGCTTAGTACATGCTCTCCCACAAAGTCCTGGTGAAGCTGTACACGATCCCTTCAGAATTAAAAACTGTATGGTCAGAGGCTCGGGTAGGCTGCAGGGTGAGAAGAATAACTTACCAAAGCTGTAACTTCCTGTTAGCATCCGACTGGCTGGCAGTGAGGGTGGAGAAGGGGAAGGGAGGGGAAAGGAGAAAGAGAGTGTGTGTCACTGGCTTGTTCACAGACATTCGGGTCTACAGTCCTCCAGCTGCCCTGCCCTCCTGGCGTCCAGGACGTCCAAAGGAAGAGGCAGCCCTGAGGCTGTGAACGCTGATGTCCGGAGGCTGACGGGGAGGAAGCAGGTGCTTGAAAAAGGCCTTCAGAATCTCCTGCAATTGGCGTTCACAGGCCTCTGCCCTTAGAGGGACGGTGAGGACTTCTGGAGATGACCTTGAACTTGACCCAGCCTGAGCCTTGGGGGCCAGTGTATCACACACACAATCAGAGCACTTTCGAGAAAAATTCCTGCCATGCTTAATTTGTCTAGGACTCAGGTCCTTCACACTTCCCTGTCAGAAATCATCTCGTGTAGACCCTGCTCAGCCCCTGCTGCCACGGCAGCCATTTCCTTCCGTGAAAAACAGGGCCAGAGCGCCCGTGCTCCCGCCAGGCATGTGCCACACCTCCTTCCCTGGGGCTGCTTCTCTCTGCCACCTCCTTCATCAGGTCAGTAGTGATGTGAGTGAAGGGGGACGCTGGGGGGTGGACAGCTGTTGCCACAGGAGGAGAGAGGCGGTGGGTGGCAGTTTACCTGTGGGCCCCGGCTGGGCCTGGAAGGGGGCTTGGGCTGCGGGAGGGAGGCTTCCGAAGGCAGAAGAGCTGGGATTGCTGCCGAAGGCATCAAAGTTGGCAAAGCCCCCATGGGAAGGTGTCTGGCCTGTAGGTGGAAGGAATATAAAGCTTGGATAGAGAAAAATTTTCTGCACAATTACGTAACACCTACTAATTCTACAGGGGACACTCTTAGGGGACACTGCCTTTCCAGAGTTCCCTCTGGGGAGACAGCGCCGAGGCCCGAGGCTGACAGCCGGGCCCATGAGGGGACGGGGCCCTGGAAGTCTCCAACTTCACTCCCTGCATCTTCTATCCTTAGTCCAGGAGGCATTAATATTTTTTGTCAAGGCCTAGTGTGGGGCAGAATCCTGTGGAAAGAAAAAAAACCCTTTTTTTGGGGTGGGGGAAGAGACTTGAGAAAAAGAAAAAGGGAAATTAGATATTGTACAGCTTTGTCTAACACTCTGCTGGCTACTGATGATGTCTGAGAAGAGGAAGGGGAAACGGAACACACGATAAGCCACCTCTTCCCATTAAAAGCTCTTTCTGAGTTCTAAGAGGAGGAGCTGGGAGCCCCCGCTGTAACGGGGGGCCACATGTAATCCCATACGTAGTCTCTGCCGCACGGTCCCTCCCAACCCTCCCAGGTAAGCTGCTTCTGAACAGCCATCGCTTCATTCGAGTGAAGAGATCAAGAGCCACGGAAAACCTGGGCACCCGGGCGACTGAACGTGCTGTGTTACAGGCGCATACACTATAGAGAGGTTCTCACTGCAGGCCCTGCTTACCCGCAAAGGCCGGGAACGCAGCAAAAGACGGTGTCACCTGGGGAGCAGCAAAGGGGTCTCCCCCGATGTCAGCCAGCAGGTCCGTGCTGGCTTTCTTGGCGGAGGAGTGCAGAGGAGGCTGGGAGCTCCGGGCCTGGGCTGTCCGAGCCTGAGACTGGCCGGCAGACTTGGGGGAGAAGGACAGCATGTGGCACTTAGAATCCCAGAGAGGACCCAGGGCCCTGTATGCTCCCCAGGCTGCCCCACAGACAGGCAAAGGGACACAGGCAGAAGTTGTCTTAGCTCCTCTCAGAACTCAAATCGAATTCATCTTCTATGAGTCTGATTGAAAAACACAGTGAATATTTAAAGAAAAATTTTTTTTTTGTTACTGGGAATCGAACTCATGACCTCACACTTGCCAGGCAGGTGCTGTGCTGCTCAGCTGTATCCCCAGCCCTAAAATTTCTAAAAATTATAACAAGACACATTGCCATGAATCCCCCTCGAAATACTTTCGTTTTCCTTTGAACACTCTTAGCCCATTACTCCTGCTAATTTGTTTCCCATTTGTTTGGTTTTTTTGAGTGCCACGTGTTGAAGCAGCTCTGCAAGTCCTCTTTCCTAAGTGTCTTTACTTGTGCTGTCATGGCTGCCTTGATGTCCTGAATCAATTCAACAGTTCCCTCTCATGGTCGTTTTGACTTTGGGGAAGAAACAGAAGTTGCACGGTCCCAGATCTGGTGAAGAGGGTGGAGGAGGACACACCTCGTGTTTTCACAGCTCGCCTTTCCATTGGATGGCACTTAGCAGCAGCATTCACCATATTTTTGATCACAACTCATAAAGACACTCGCAAGAGAGGACTTCCAGAACTGCTGCAGGAAGTGGCAATATCAGTGGGATAAGTATGTTCAAAGCAAGAGAGAGTATTCTGAGGCAGAATCATAGCAATGTATCTTTTATTTTAATAATTAAAAAATTTTTTAAACTTTCACTATACATTGTGATCACACCTCATATAGCAGGGCCCAGAACTGCATATTTGCAAGCACATTAGTCAAAATAACTCTGAAATACACAGGAATGTGCCCAACAGTGTCCTTGGGCCTCGTTTTCTCAGAGCGAAGAATGGTCAGGATTGGAGGTGACTTCCTCACATACCACTCCCTGTTGGGTTCTATCTTCCAAGGGTTATAAAGTCCAGAGGTGAGAGATGCCAGCTACAGGGAACAGCAGCGCTGAGGACTAACTCACAGCTCCTCTTCTGTTGTGTGATTTAGGACAGTGGCACCCGTCTCATGCCCACCTCACCCGATGCCCACGTCAACGAGCAGGGCAGGTCTGAGTTACCTGGCTAGAGGTGGCGGCAGCATCTGTGACGGATGGCATGGGATCCCCCAGAAGTGTCCTCTGGGGCTTCCCTTCTGGCATGGAGCCCTGGACAGGGGTGGAGGTGCTGCCTTTGGTATAAGCGGGCCCCTTGACTTGGTCCGGGGGGACGTACCTTTGAGAAAGGACAGGCAGGCTGTAAAGAGGGCAGAAACCCTGGACCAGGCTCAGTTTATGTGCTTGAGAAAACACAGGTTACAGAGGTCAAAGTCCTTCCTCATGTTTTCTTTACAGATCCCCTCCTTAGGGTTAAGGGAATTTAGCAGCTTTGAAAGTTCTGCTCTCTAGGGACTGAGGGCGTAGCTCAGTGCTACAATGCTTGCCTAGCATAAATGAGGCTGGGTCTAACCCCCAGTCCTGCCCAGAAAAATAAACAACGTTCGGACTTTCTTGAGCACGTCCTTGAGCACCTGATGGTCGTTTCTTCTGTAGCAGTGTTCAGTATGCCCTGGGCTGCCCCTGCTTTCCTTTCCTCTCTCCCTCTTCTTTAGACATCATAAACTACCTGGGCTTCAAGTAACCACACACACAATCATGCCGAGTCCCATTCTCCAGCTCGCTATCAAGGTCCCCCTTGTCACTTCCTGGCTGTTTCTTCCTCGGTCCTGGGTGCACAGAAAAGGTGCTGGCCTCGCATTCTCAGAGCTCACAGGCTGTCCTGTCCTCCAGGTCCTGCTACTGCTGATAAGATTCCCTTCTACAGCTGATAAGATCCCTTGGAATCCCTTCACCCTGGGAGGCCGAGGCAGAAGGGTGGCAAGTTCATGGCTAGCCTGGGGAATTTAGCAAGACCTTGTCTGAAAATAAACAAATAGGGAAAAAAAGGGGGAGGGGGAAGGGGAGCTGGGGATGTAGCTCAGTGAGAAGGCCTCAGTATCACACACAAAAAGGACCCTTCTCACTGAAGTATATGCGGTCTTACTTCGGAGACATTATGACAAGATTCAGTGACATATTTGTTTGCCTGTTTTTGAGACAGGGTCTTGGTAGGTAGTTCAGGCTAGCCTCGAACTCACAGCGATCCACTGGCCTCAGCCTCCTGATCAAAATCATGGTTTACCAATGTTAATCTTCTTGCTTTCTGTGTTGTCTTCCCCACTTGAAAATCACCCCTAGGCCCAAAGCCCAAACAACTGGAGAGAAAACCTGGACAGAGAAAGCAAAGGAGAATGGAACTGCTGTTTTCTTTATCAGGAAAACAGAAAACCTACAGACCATGAATAAAACGATGGGCTTGGTGGATAGAGGTATAGCCCACGTGATTTCAGCCATCTCTCCTCACATGTGAGATCAGTTGAGCTATAAAAACTACCTCACACTCTCATCAGCCTATCTCCCCGTGCTAACCTAGTCTCCCCTAAAGCTGCCATTAGTACCCATTGTCCTTCCATGTGGACTGTTTTGAAGACAGAAATTTTAATTGAATCTAAGTGGAACAGACTCAACCCAAGCCCACACGACTTGGAAACCGGACTGTCAGAGGAAGCATGTCTTGGACACACGTCTCCACGGCAATCTCTTCCTTCTTCCTTACCATCTTTTCTTTTCATATTTTTCCTGGAGAAACTCCTTCACCTTCTGGGGATCCCTGGAATCTGGTATTAAAGATGTCCGAGCATCAAAAAGACCCAGCCAGATCTTCCTGCAGACCTGAAAGAACAGGACCAGGTGACAGAAGAGCTGGAGCAGAAAGCATGAAATATGAACCATCATGTTGGTGTACCTTTCCCCAGTAACCACTTTCAGTGTTTCCATCAATAAAGATTTATTGAGCTTGGACAGTGCTAGGATCTGGATCTATTCAGTATGATCAAAAAATATGGTAAATGTTTAAATTTTTAAAAATGTATTACAGTAAAAGACATCAATACCCTTCTATACCCTCAAAATACTCCCCCTCGCTTTAAACACCTCCCACGGTTCTTGCCATTTTCCGAAGCAGTCCTGGAAGTCCTCTCTCGTCAGTGTCTGTAGTTGTGCTGTTGTGGCTTCCCTGATGTCCTAAATCGATTAAAAAACATTTCCCGTCCACGGTCATTTTCTCATTTTCACTCTGGGGAAGAGCCAGAAGTCACACAGTGCCAGACGGAGTGAATAAGGTAACACGGACACTGTGTCACGTTTTTATGAGCAGCCTTTCCACCGGATGGCACTGGGGAGCAGCAGTCTTTGGATTTTTTGTCACACTGCATGCAAACACAAAAGAGGATTTGCAGAACTGCTTCAGAAAGTGGCAAGAACGATGGGATAAGAAGCAGGTGGCATTTTGAGGGAGATTCATGGCAATGTGTTTTTTACTGCAATAAATTTTTTAAAAGTTTCAACATTAACTGTCTATTTTGATCACAGTACCTACAAATCAGACTCCTGTCCTCGATGAGTTTCTAATCTAATGGGAGCTCCGTGCCTTAGACAAATAAAGCTAAATTTGTAATTACACACTGTTATGCATATTGAAGAAGGAAAATTCTCTAGCCATGAGAATTCTGGACAACTAGGTCTGGATGGGAATGAGGTCAAGGAAAATTTTCAGAGCCCTTGATGTTACCCTGCATGTAACCCATTTACCTGTAAGCTACAAGTACTGCTCACACCAAGGTCACCAACTTTTGGTCAGCAGATTTAGCTAGGGAATGGCTTTAACTGCCTGTCAAGTGAATGACGTGGACTTAAAAACCCAGGTAGTCCAGGCTCAAGGCAGCAGAACTGTCCCCAGTTCCTTTCCGGGCTGCTGGCCCAGGTACCTCTGAATGTGCATCAGCACAGACCTCTAACCATTTCCCTGAGTACCTAGGGGCCCCCTAGAGAGATGTTGCTCCTTCTTTTGATTCCTCATAAAGGGGTATAGACAAACCACATTTGTATAACTAAGGTTCTATATGTAAGTATTCAAAATACACAGAAGACATGAAATCTCATATGCTGGCTGGGTGTGGTACACTTGGGAGGCTGAGGCAGGAGGATCATCTCAAACTCGAGGCCACCCTGGGCTACACAGTGAGTCCATGCCAGCCTGAACTACATAATGAGACCCTGTTGACAGAGAGACAGAGAGACAGAGAGAGAGAGGAACTCAACCCCAAAAGAAAACTGTGGGTTTTTTTTTCTGATACTGAGGCAAAGCTCTGCTGGCAGGCAGGGCAATGGCAGGCTCCTGACGGCTCCCTGAGGGACAGCTCACCTCATTTCCACGAGACTGCAGGAACACTACCTCAGGTTCCGTGAAAGTTGTCATGGAGATGGACTTGACTCGATGAGGCGGGTTCAGGCCTCTCCTGGGGGAGGGAGAAAGCAAGAGAAGTATGACACGGTTAGCACAGCAGGTCTAACTTACAGGTGGCAGGAGAGGGAGAAAGGATAAAACAGCACATAGCTGGGCTGGAAAGAGAGACCCCTGCTCAAGGCTGGGCTGTAGCTCAGCTCAGTGGTGGAACACTTGCTCAGCATGTACAAGGCCCCTATTTTATTGAGTCAGGATTTTGCAACATCACTAAACTGCCCAGACTGGCCTGAAATACATGACCCTCCTGCCTCAGCCTCTCAGGGTGCTGAGATTATAGGAGTGCATGATTATGCCCAGCTAGGAAGTCATCTTTAAGAAAAGAAATGTTCCAGCTTTTCTTTTTTTTATGAGTAGATCTTTCAATAACGCAGGAAGAAGTCAAGTTCAACCATGAGCTATGAAGGCCTGGGCCAGGAATACAGATCCTGTTGTGAGGCTTTTGTGCATGCTCTGTGTATTGTTACCTCCCTGGGAGTCCAGCCCACAGGAACTGTGTGGAGACAACAGCACAAAAGGCGACTTCCCCACCTCACTCACTGGTCTCCGGAGTCTCCATCCTAACAGGGGAACCTGGGGCTAAGCTGCATGGGTTCCCCTTCTTTACGCCTTAAGGTTTAGTCTGGTCTAGAGCTACTGCCCTCCTATTAAAACTGGCCAGCCAGGGCTAGGGATTTAGCTCAGCAGCAAAGCGCCTGCCTGGCAAGTGCAAGGTCGTAAGTTCAGTTCCCAGTACTGGAGAAAAACCAAAAACAAAACAAAACAAAACAAAACAAAAAACTGGCCAGCCAGGCATGGTAATCCCAGCACTCAGGAGGCTGAGGCAGGAGGATCGTTGCGAGTTTGAGGCCAGCCTGGGCTACAAAGTGAGCTCAAAGCCAGCCTGAACTGTATAGCGAGACCCTGTCTCAAAAAGACAAAAAATAAAAATAAATAAATAAAACTCACCAAATATAAATAAACAAGTTAGAGAGACCACAGACACATGGAGGGAAGACAGTCTCAGCTGATAAGACTTATTTGGACTTTTTAAAAACTGTACAAATCTAGATGTTAACATTGTAGTCAACCCTCCATATCTATGAGCTCTGCAGCCATGGAATCGAACAACTGGGAGTGAAAATATTTGGGGAAAAACTGCATCTGTACTGAACATGTACAGACTTTCTTCCCTGTCATTATTCCCTAAGAACAACTATTTACATGGGGAGCATTTACATTATAAATAGTCTGGAGAGCATTTGAAGTATGCGGGAGAAGCCTGGTGCTGCCGTGGATGTCTGTAATCCTAGCACTCTGGGATGCGCAGGCAGGAAGATTGCAAGTTCAAGCCCAGCCTGGGCAATTTAGCAAGACCTTGTCTCAAAAAATAAAAAGGGCTGGAGATGTAGCTCAATGTCAAGGCCTTGGTTTCAATCTCCAGTACTCCAAAAAAAAAAAAAAAAAAGAGAGAGAAAGAAAGAAAAAACAAAAAACCCAGAAGGACATGTGTAGTAAATGCCACACCATTTTTTTTTTTTTTGGTTTTTCTCCGGTACCGGGAACCAAACTCACGACCTTGCGCTTGCCAGGCAGGCGTTTTGCCGCTGAGCTAAATCCCCAGCCCCGCCACACCATTTTTATATAAAGCACTTGGCCATCATGGATTTGGGGAAGGTGTTCCAGAACCAATCCCCCCAAAGATACCCAGGGGTGACTGAGTTTGCAATAGGATTTTGGCTGATGTCCTCAGGAAAACAAAGGGGGAACAAACAGATGACATTTTCCAAACAGGAATCCTAAAAACCATAAAGGTCAGGAACACACACTCATTCACACCCACAGGTGCACACACAGAACAAAGGTGCTCCTGCCAGGTCTGGGGGACGGCAGCACGTGTCAGCGTAAGTGGGGGGAATGAACGCGACTGCTGACATAGTGCAAAGTGAACTGCGACAGTCGGCACTCTTTGGGATGATAAATTACTCATTAAGGCATTCAAACAAAGGATCAGGCAGGGCAGGCTCCAGTGGAGGTCATTTTCAACTAATTCTGCTGCTAGACTTTTAAGTGAAAGGTCTTGAGATGCGCTTAAAAAAGACTAGCAACATCAGAGAGGTCTGATGCCCTGTGGAAAGGTAAAAGCAGGGAAACCAAAAGCAAGGCTTTGGTTCTACACATCAAACAACAGCTCTTAAATATCATCGGCCCTGAACTCTCTTCCCATCACCCTTCCCAGATACTCTAGTTTTCTCTCCCAAGGCCTTTCCTGCTAATGGCCCAGTCTGGTTTGCCTTTCAATTCCAGCCTGCTTTTTGTTGTTTTTTTAAGCCCAGACTGACCTTGAACTCAAAGTGATTGCCCTGCCTCAGCCTCCCAAGGGCTGGGATTTCAAGTGTGCGTCACCACGTCCAGACCAGCCTGCTTTTATACTCTTCCCATTGCTCTTTGTCACCTTAACCCCAGGTCCTTCCCTTTTCAGTGCCAGGCCTCCCTGTAGCCTGGTCAGAATTACCTCACTGTCCCTATGATCTTGGTCCTTCACCTCCTACTATTAAAATTTTTACTTTGCCAAAATAAGAGCCCTTACAGTAGGCACTTTGGGGGATGGGAAAATTACAGGGCCTCATCTCTGACCAAGGACTTGGGAAGCCCACATCGGGGCCCCGCTCGCTCTGCAAGGGAGGTCATTCGGTGGACACTGACAGATCCGGAAGAACACGGCTCCAGGATGCAGTGGCGGGGGAAGGAAGCGAACCTCACAGGAATGGCAAAACCTGTTATGTTTACAGTAGAAAAACAGATCCCGAGTCTATTACAAGAAGGTCACTGACATTTCCGGAAGAGACAAGAGGAACTGTTGGCGAAGTGTAAACAGGGAGGTGCGCTTCCATCATCCAAGGGGGGCCTCACCCAGACATCAATCAAAAGGGGATGCTGGAACCACAGAGGACTGAGCTCGGACTGGAGGGTTTTGGTGAGGGGGGGTGAGGCGGGGTGGGGGTGCAGGGAGGAGATGATAGGGCGAAAGGCAGGCAGAGAAAGTAAGGAGTGATTTAAGTGCCTTGGGCCAAGTGAATCTGATGGAACAGGATGTTTCCGTAGCGCAGTACAAAAAGCCTTGCTCTGACCTTGATGTCTGTAGGCTGGATTATGTAGAACCAGAGCCACAGTCTGGGGGCAGGGAGAGTCTTCACAAGGCAACACTCTGCAGCCCAGGAAGAGGGCCTAGGCCCAGGGCCTGTGAGTCAGACTGTCTCTGAATCACAGGGAGGCCATTGCTGGCAGAGACAAGCAATTTAGAAACCAGCCGTCTGCTGCCAGCGGCTGAAAGCAAAGGGTCTAGGTGTGTTGCGCTTCACGGGGACACACCGGGGTCACGCTGCGGGCCAGTGTGAGTCACTGGCCTGGAATTCAACAGACCCAGCCCTTGGACATGCACCTCTTGGCCCCAACACAACTCCCCAAAGAAAGTTAGAGGGAGGGCACTGCCCTTCAGCTATCACAACAAATCCGTTCTGTCACTTTTCACTCAGGAGGTGCTAGGGGAATACAGAGATAAATTATTTGCCCAGAATAGAGCAAGTTTTTCCATTCAAAAGCAAGTGTGTTACTAGGACTCCAGCCTTAAACCCATCATGCTCCTTTTTACCTACTTTGGTTTCTTTTTCACTGGGCACCTAACAGCAGTTGAAGTTACTGTAAAATCTGGGCTGGTGAAAGCCCGATTCTCCCTGCCTGTCCCTCTTGGGTCCATTAATCACACAACTGTGTCCACAAAGGCCACACCTTTTGTTTTTCTGTGGTCATCACCCTCAAGCTGGCCTATATTTTGTTTCTATCTCACTTCATAAAAACATCAAACCTGCTCAGCTGCTCTGATAAGAAGGTTCTGCCAGGTCAACAGTGGAAAAAAACCAGTTCCACCCAGCACCCAAGTTCTTTTATTTGTGCCACATTTGAACTTGGGAGTTCCTCACCTCTAAATGTTTGTGCTCCAATTCACAGCTTCTCTGCACCTGGGCTTCCACTCCTCGGGCTCTAAGGGGGGACAGCTGATCACTTTCGCTGTCTTCCTGGGCTCATTTTTAACAGCCCCCAATAGGAGGCTCTCCTATTACCCTGCCCCCCGGGGCCAATGTCACTTGGAGGAAACCTCTTCCTTATCTAAATTCTGCTTCAACCCCATTTCCTTTGTTCTTCGTGGGCAGCCATGATAAACAACTTCCTACTGTGCAGCGCGGGGTAGGACCCCACAGCATTAGCGCACACTTCTCTCTCTCAGGCTCAACCTCAATCCTTTTGCATTTTTCCTCTTCACGCTTTCTTCATCTTGTTTTGCCAACTGCTTACTTCTGTATGGGACTTTCTGAGGCACTCACGGCCTCTTTTGATAAAGAGCTGAAATCGGCAATTGAGGGGAGACTCTGTCTAGTCCACCTCTGCCCAGCAGAGAGAAGGAAAGGAGGTGAGGCGGGGAGGGAGTGATGGGGCTGAGCAGGGACAAGGTACATGTGTGCCTCTCCAACCCGGACAGACGGAAAAGTACTGAATTATTGAGTAACATGCGACATCTTTCCTTCCCTGGAGATAAAACTGCTTCAGTGAGGAACCATGACTACTAACGAGCCAGACAGGGACATTAAGGCACATGTCATGTAGGAATGTGTGACAAATGGACAGCTGTCAAACGAATCTCTTTGAGTTTGACCCCTTGAGTCTGACCCCTGTTCTCACAGTAAAGTTGGACAGAAGTAGAAGAGACAAATACATAGCTGGGTGTGCTGGTGCACGCCTGGAATCCCAGCTACTCGGGAGGCTGAGGCAGGAGGCGCATATGTTGGAAGCAAGCCTAGGTAATCTGGTGAGACTCAGTTGCAAAACAAAATTTAGAAAAGAGCTGAGTATGGTGGGGCATGGCTATAATCCCAGCACTCAGGAGACAGAAGCACGAGGATCACACTGAGTTTAAGGACAGTCCAGGATACACAATGAGTTCATGGCCAGCCTAAACTA